AAATAAATAAATAAATAAATAAATAAATAAATTTCCTGGAGAAAGAGCAATCATGCTGCAGTTAAGCTAGAGAGGTAATGAAAGGATGTTTATTTATTAGATGATGTTCTAGGCTACTGCTGAGAGGACTGCCCAAGTTTTAGGAGTCTGGTCAGCTAGGATAACCAGTATAGAAATGAGAAAGGAATGGAACAGGTAGAGAGAAGGATTCGTGGAGGCTGGGCACCAGCTGAGCCTGGGACCACGCAGCATGTTGACATTGGGCAGTGTACACTGTAAAAGAAAATGATGACGTGGTCATGCTCCATAGTTAAAAGAAGTTAATACTAAAATAGAAATTCCCAATCAACTAAATTTAGGAATCTGGAAATTGGCAAATAACTATACTTTTGTTTCCTAAAAAGATTCATAGAAACTGTTTTATTGGCAGGAATTCAGTTAGTGTTGATGTTTTGTTTTTTTTTTTTTTTTTTAAAGCAGAATATATTTATTGGAGGAAGAAAGCTTTTGTCTGAAAGAGAGAGAGAGAGAGAGACAGACAGACAGACAGACAGACAGACAGATGACAGAGACAGAGACAGAGACAGAGACAGACAGATGACAGAGACAGAGACAGAGAGACAGAGATAGACGGGGTCTTGAGTGAGTTGCCAAGGACCTTGCCTTTTCTAGGGATTTTATAGAGCAAAGCTATGAGGTGAGGTGAATCCAAGGTGGAAAAAGTGGAAAATCAAAACAGTTAGTGTCTTCACTCTTCAAAATTTGAAGAAACATATATACTGTTCATTTTAGATCTTAAGATAATTTTTTTAAATCACTAATTATTTTATCATCATCATCATCATCATCATCATCATCATCATCATCATCATCATCATTATCATTTTATACTGGGTCTCACTATGCAGCTCAGACTCATAGTGATCCTCCTGTCCTTAGCCTCCCCAGTGCTGGGATTACAGGCGTGCACCACCATGCCTAGTCTCAAGCTAACATTACTTTCAACCTAATTTGTTTAGCATTTTCCTGGGTTTCTTGGTTTATTGATGTGAAATGTGAACTTGTCCTGTGCATATTTACCAGATTAATTGATAAAAATGAATATAAAAGCAGATAGAAAATGTATATAATAGAGTAAAAATAAATTGAAATCATGCTTGTAGATTCTGTCTCATGTCTGAAATCATGTGACAGATTCAGTGAGGCTCTGGGCAGCTTTTTCAAAAGAAGCCGGGTTTCAAAGAGCAGGTGCACAGTGAAGTGCAAGTCTGAACTGGGAGCAGCATCCGGAGTCTATAATTCAGATTTGACCCTGGCTCAGCAGTGCAGAGAGAAAGCTTAGGCATAAATTCTCAGCTTTGGTTACCTTAGATATTAGCAGCCACATTTATACCCATGAATTGCCTACTAAAACATCTGAAGTATTTGCTTAATAACTTGGGATGGCTCTCTTAGGCAAATAAGCCAGGAAAATGGGTAAAACATAAGCAAGTGGAGCTAGAAGAGCGGAATCTGTCTCCTCAAGGACCTGTACCAAATACATTAAAAAAATTATAGTTGATGAGTCAAGTCTATTGTTCATTTTTTTTAGACAGGATTTCACTATGTAGTTCAGACTGGTCTTGAACTTGCTAACCTTGTCATTTTCAAATTTGATCTAAAAAATTAAAAATCATAGGGCAATTGCTTGGATCACTGGGGTGCCTTCCAGTTCTAATACCACATTTTCTTTCTCCAGCCTCTAAATTTCAATACTTTAGGAGTATTGAAAGGGCTCTTTCAAGCTCTCTTCCCTCAAGGCTGAGGCAAGAGGATTGCCAAGAGGTCAAAGTTAGCCTGAATATATAGCAAGTTCAAGACAAGCCTGAACTACATAGTGAAACCATATCACAAAAAAAGAGAAAAAAATGGATTTGATTCATCAGTTTTAATTTTTTAAAAATGTATTTGGTATAGGGTGTCACTACACAGTTTGGACTTGTAGTAATCCTGCTGTTTTCAGCCTTTCCAATGCTGGGATTACAGGCATGCCAGTGTGACATGTGATGCTAGGGATTGAACCCTGGTCCCTGTGCTTGCATAAGCAGGCACTTAGTCCACTGAACTATTTCACTGACCCCCTTTTTATTTTTTATTAGTACATATTTGCAGTACATAGTGTTTATATTCATTGTTGTGAGTTGCCTCATGTACACAGCACATTTTAATTCTTTTTATGTAACCTTCTTCTTTTCCCCTGCCTCTCATCTCTTGTTTCCGTTCCCATTTGTAAACGATCAATCTCCATGTTACCTATTATCCATCTTTAAATTATTTGTATTTTGAGTTTCTCGTATAAGAGAAATCATGCAATATTTAGGCTTGTGTGTCTGATCACTTCACTTAGCATTATGGTGTCCAGGTGCATCCATTCTCCTAAAAATGACTCAAGTTTACCCTTCTTTGAGGCAGGGTGGTACCCCATTGTGCACAGATACCAGATTGTCTTTCTCCGTTATCTGTAGGTGGATATATTGGCTGTTTCCAACATTTACATACTGTGAGCTGTGCTGCTGTGGACATGAACATACATATACACTGTGATAGGAAGTCTTCGCCTCTTTCAGGAAGATACTTAGAAGGGGAATAGTTGGGTCAAAGGAATTTCTAGTTATAATTTTTTTGAAAAATCTACACACTGATTTCCATAGGAGTTACAGTAGCTTATGCTTTCACTGACGGTGTAGAAGTGTTTTGTTTCTCCACAGCATCATTAGCATTTGTCATTATTTGATTTCTTAATGATAGCCATTTGTTCCGGTAGAAGCTAGAATCTCAGCTGGCATTTTAATTTGCATTCCTTTAATGGCCAGCAATATTGATCATTTTTTTTCACATATTTATTTGACATTTCTGCTTCATCTTCTAAGAATTGTTCACTTAAGTTGCACTGTTTTTATTCGTTCTTTTATTTTGGAAGATCTACTTTTTTGAGTGCTTTACATATTCTAGTTATTAGTCCTCTGTTTGAGTTACTGCAAGATAGAACAGGTAAAATTGAAATAATTGGTGTAGGCCAGGACTTTCTGAGCAGAACCATGGTTTTGTATAATAAATAACACCAAAAAATCAATAAATGAGATCATATCAAATAAAAAAATCTTTTGAAATAAAGGAAACCACCAACAGAGGAAAGAGACAGCCCACAGAAAGGAGAAAAAATTACAAGCTGTACCTCAGAGTTGCATCAATTTTTATTAAGTAGTTTTCATTGGCTGTCACATATATTTCTAATCCAGTAAGTCACAGCATTTTATGTGAATTAAAGTTCTCCTATACAGTACAATTTGATAAGGCAAATAAGAGCTTAAGCCCAGAACTATCATTTTTAAGTACTAGTAAACTTTGGTCATTGTATAGTTAACGGCTTTCTTAGGAATAGTCATTTGAAGTTGGTGTAGTAGTACAGCCTGTAGTTCCAATTATTTGGGAGGCTGATGCAGGAGAAGCCCTTGCACCTATGAGTTCAAGACCAGCTTATGTAACATAGCAAGACCCTGTCTCAACAAATAAGGAATATTCAGGTAATGAATATTTAATCTGTGTACCAGACATGTGGCATAATGTATCAGTTTTATCATGGTGCTTTCCAGTGCATACTGTATTACATATAAGTGCCACAAATCCAAAAATACTTCTTAATTAATAGATGAATGATTGTTATCTTCATACAAATTCCTTCTCCTTGTAAAGAACTGGCTTAAATCTTACCCACTGGCTTAAATCTATGCCCTTTTCCATAGACACAACATAAGACCTATTCTTTTTCCTCTCCTTCTCTCTACCCCCCTCTTTTTAAGATTCTGTTGCTCGGGCAACAAGATTTCTTCATGCCTGCTTGGCTCCTGTTGCCAAGGCAACAGGGCATAGTTGGCAGGCTAGTTTGAGACATCAGATGTTTGTGGTATCAGAGATACCCGTGGTTCACAACTTCTCTGATAAGTTAGTATATGCATAATTTTATTTCAGAGTGTGCTCCTGACTTCAGCCCTTGCATATAGAGATGGTTGTGTATGTTTGTCAGAAATGGACCAGAAAGATGCCTGTGTCATCTCAAGACCTGTGACACTTCCTTGTTTTTAGCAGATGCGTTGCTGATGCTTCCTTGTGGCTATTCTCTCTCAACCCTGTTTTTATAAACTGCATCTAGTTTTCTCTACCACTGAATGAGTTCTGTTTGATCACTACTTTAGCCTCTCGGCCAGTGTCATAAGCCCGCATCTTATTAGCAAAACAGAACAGCCATAACAAAACCCAATGCAGAATTGTCAATGACACCACAATTCCATTCCTGTGACAGTTCTAAACTCCTGTGGCTTCCTGCTTGTTCCTAGCTGTCATTGCAGCGTGAGCAGAATTCCACGGGAGCATTGTAGCACATTCTTGTCATCATACCAACTTTACTAACATAGCTAAATAGAAGCCTTTACTGAATATGAGAACTCAACCCTACAAATTGTCACTTATTCATACAGCATATGCTTATGAATGTCACTGCCTGAAAGAGACTTTCAGCTCTAAAATTCTACTTAGCTCCTATGGTATGATTATAGGAACCTAAAAACATAATTTCTTAGTATTATGATCCAAACTTCTTATAGCATAAGGTTAAATATTTTTTTCTTGTCAGCATCAAGTCACATTGGCTACTGTTTGTGATTGAATTAAGTTATGTGATGTACTCATAATGTGTGGGAAAACATTTTCTTTATTGAGAGATGTATTTAAAGGAATCCTTATGAGACACAGAATTTGAGAGCTTTATCTCCTGACTTTAGTCTTTGTAGAAATGACTGTCGGTGTTGTGAGCATCCAACATTATAAAGGGCCAGGACTCTTCTGATAAAACAATTAACCAGAAATTCACACTGTACTCCAATTAATTCGGTGAAAGTCTATTTAGAAAGCCACAAAGCTCATGCCTGTTTTTCACTTTGACATAGTCAGTCATCTCATGCGAAAGTCATAGATTAGCGCTCATTTTGAGCCTGTCAGGTTCTTTTTCTTATGCATTGTAGATGAAGTCACAGCAGATCTGAAGAAGGCTGAAGGTGGATCCTCTCACTTCCTAAAGTTCTTTCAAATGCTTTCATCAGCCTGAAGTGCTTGCTATTGGTCAGTACCTATTTTAAAGCTATTAGAGGATCCAGTCTTGACTATGTTAAACAATGTGTCTGAAATGATCTTTCTCGGCTAAATCATTTTTTGTGTTTTCTAGCTTTGGCTGCTAGGGGAATAACAGCCTCTATAGCCATTACATTTCTTTGGAGGTAAACTTTGAATGTGGTTCAAGCTGGACCTCCCTCAGGCTCTGCAAACAATCACTCATTTGTCATCTATGGAAACAGCAACTGCACATTAAAATCTGTCATTTCTTGTCACAGTGAATCTGTTTTATTTTGGTTTCAGAAGTCTATATTTTCTTGTGGTTAATGATACAATTTCCATAGAAATAATCAGACACGATGAAAACATTCCACTATACAATCCTGTAAGTTCCAAAAGCGTGGAGGCTGTCTTCTCACCGTTGCCATTTCTAGTGCCTAGCACAGTGTCTGCATATGGTAGGAAGCTTATAAATATATTATTCAGTGAATTAATGGAGAAATGTGTGATGTTTGAAAACTTCCCTAAGATTTCCTAAAATGGATTTAGAATTGTAGGAAGGAGTAGCAAATTTATACAACTCAGCATTTTCAGGGTGACCTATGTCACATACCTTGCTTGTGTACACTGCTTATATTTTAACATGTAAAAATATTTGAAATATTTAATTCTTCAAGGCAGTAAGAGTCTTCTTCCAGATAGCTCAGCATGTAAGTGATTATTAGCTCTTCAAAAGTATCCAGAAATGTAGATTGAAGCTTTTTGCAAGCTTCATTCTTATTCGCCTTTTATGATGGTGAGATTCTTGAGGTACCTCTAGGTCATGCTGAATGTACGTGCACAGTGATCAGCACCTTCTATAGAAGGGTCTAGAATGTTAAATAGGATGGCTGCTAGTCATAAATGACTGTTAAGCAGTTGATAGATGGCTAGTACCACTGAGGAAGTGATTTCTAGTTTAATATAATGTTAATGTAACTGTAAAATATGCTTAAAAAGGATTTCACTTTTTTAAAAAAATGTTGATATAAATTTTAAAATAGTGCTTATACATATATATATATATATATATATATATATATATATATATTTGGACAGTGGTAGATTCATCCAGAAGGCTAAGAAATACAGTTATTAGAAAGCATTTCCTGGGTCTGGTGCAGGATGTGAGGAGGGCATCTAGCCCTGTGGCCCGGCACAGAGGTTGTCTGTCTCCTGACACCCCCTCTCAGGAGTGCTGGGGACGTGCCCATTTTGCACGTTTGCCGGGCAGGCCTATCCCCTTTCTTTCTTTGAACCTTATTACAGAGCTAGAAAGAATATATTAATGTGTGAAACTCTAACATGTCATTTACAATAAAAGGTCCTGGAAACTTGGGCTGGGAATGAGAAAAATTGTGGAATCTATCGAGGGCTGGCTTGGTGAGGGACAGAAGAGGTGGACAAGGATGGGGAAGGCTTGCATAGGAGGCACAAAAGGATGAGTATTATTCTAATACTCACGTCGGGTGCCAGGTAAGTAAGTGATAATTTTGGTACTTTTTCTAGCTTAGATATGCATTGTGTTCAAGTACTAAAAATTCTGTGATTAAGATGGAAGGTTGGGGCAAGAGCATTTTCATCTATGTGTACTTGTATCTGAATACCTGTCTTGTTTTGTGGATATTCAATGTATAATTTTTAGATTATATTAGATTGAAGTAAGTTTCTTATAATTCATTATGATATATACATTTTATACTTCATTACAGAAAAGAACAGTATAAAGAAATTGGCTGTGGGCTACATTGGGGAAAGGAAGGCTGACTGTTATGAGTATCACAGTTGGCATTTAAGGCCACTCCACAGGGCAGAAGGTCCTAAGATCAATTTGAAAATGGGCAAGATATTTAGAGTGTTGAGACAAGAAAAATAAGGGATGTTCATATTGATGAAAACTGTAGGAAAACTATTGTCTTTGTAAATGCAAAAATCATTTGATTTCACAGGAATAGTTAGCAATTTCTTTGAAAACAGCAGGAATAAATCATGAAAATGCCATATAAAATTTAAATGTTATTTCTTCTTAATACAGTATCACCATTTGATTTTTAAGAAGAGTGAGATAATCATTTAGTCAATAAAATGTGTGTCCTTATTTATGTATTTTATTCTTTTAGGTTCATAATTATACTTTGAGCTCATAAACAACATTGTTGGAGCAAACGTCTCCCATTGGTCAGCAGAATGTCCATCTTACTTTGTGCTAGAATGTGTTTACGCTTTCCTTTATTAAACTCTTAAGAACATGTTGAGGGACAATAACCTTCACTTATATGTATAATGCAAACCACAGCTGAGCGGAACTTCTAGTAAATGTTTGTCAAATTCAAGCTGGAAGAGTCATTCTAATGGCCTCCAATTCTGTTTTCAGGGAGTTCACTGGTGGAGTAGGACCAAGACCACGCCCAGGTAATTTAGTGTCTGCGGCGGTAAGATCGGACAACAGATCCTCCTGAAATTCAGTGCCGTTTATGTTACGGTTTCACACCTTTCCCCCTTTTATTTCTTCAGCTTTGCTGCCTCTTAATCTGCTTCTGCAAGTGCCACCCTTCATGGTTGGGTCCCACGTTAAGGAACTAGAGGCCAAGTTAGTGACAGGTTGGCAGTTCTGCAGCCTTCCTTCTGTGATTCTCGGAAATCGCAGAGATCACGGTGGTACTCCCTGGGTCATACTGATGGTAGGCACAGCCGGTGAGCACAGGGTCGTGGCTGGGCCTGAAGTGTCTGGATGACATTGAAGGGGTCATTTTGACTGAAACAGCTGGAAAATTCTGGTTAGTTCATCCAACACACTGGAAATTTAATTGCATTTCTTGAATAGAATATTATAGGTGTTTTTTCTGTGTTCATTTATTGATCAAAATATTATATATAGGTCTTTCCCAAAATTTGCATTTCTTCTTTTATGGAATTAATGAGTTAAACTATTAATGTGCAAAGTATATACCTACTAATAAAAATATAACTATTTTGTGTAGGTATTTCTATAAATACTGTTCCTGTGTGATACAAGAGACCAAATCTTTTCTTTTCTTTTTTTTTTTTTCTTTTTTTTGTGGAACCAGGGATCGAACTCAGGCCCTTGCACTTGCCAGCAAAGCGCTTATTCCACTGAGCCATCTTCCCGGCCCTTGAATCTTTTATTTTTCTATTTCCTTTATTCTACCTTAGAAAATTATTTTAGTTTTATTTGTATTTGGTTAAAATGATGTTACATTGTTTCTTTAATTTAAAATTATAGATCCTTAAATATAGAAATTTTATACTCATGTTTTGCAATGAAAAGGTTATATTAGTGTTTCTAATTTCTATGAAAGAGGGAAAAAATGACAACAGTAGCAGTCAAATTATTATCTAAACCTGGATAATCCAGAAGAAGTTTAATGATTGTCATTTAAACATATGTACAAATGTAGACTCAAACATAAAATTCTATTTGATCATTTTGGTTAATTTGGAATTATTATTTACTATTTTCACTTTAGCTTCCTTAGTTCTCATTAATTGTACAGTCAACATGCACAATGAGTGTTTTCCATACACATGCATATGCTGTCATGTGAGGCTACGTTGCTATATTTATAAAATTTTGTTTAAAGAAATTACTGACAGTTTGAGGGCATCAGAATGTCAACGTAGATGCAAAACAAGATGGCTTTATTACCTAGATGCCCAGTGCTGTCGTGTTAACCACAGCTCTGTTCCTGTTATTTTTGCAAAGGTAAGATAATAATATGACCATGAAATGAGAATGATAGCTGTTCATTGATTTTATAGGAGCGAAAGCAGAGCAAAGGTGAATACAGGCCCATGCACACATGCATGCACACACATATATACACAAATTCCTTTTCCTAAAGGGCATATTGTATTTGTCCAGTATAATTTTTCTTTTTATGTTGCTAATATTGGTCAGATCTCTAGCTCTTAAATCAACTATTGACATTATAACATAGTTTTTATATAATGTGTTCCTTAATCCTACAGTTATACCTTCAAATTTTTTTTTAAGACAAGGTCTTATATAATTCAGGCTGGCCTTGCACTTGCTATATAGCTTAGGCTGGCCTTGAACTCATGGCAATCCGTCTGACTCTTGAGTCCTGGAATTACAGGTGTGCGCTATCATGCCTGGCACTTTCCAATTTTTATTTATTTATTTTTCCATAATTTTATTGAGAAACGAATAGCAATGAGACAGTTTCAAACCAAATTGGTAGGACAGTTTCATATATTCAGAATTATGAAGCATTTTAAGAGTGAGTGAAAGCTAAATTTCACCTATAAAAGAATTTTCTACTAATATTGAAGTGCACAGTAATGTGCATGAGAAAATTCAGGTACTACCTATTTTTACAATTAAAAAATTAGACTCATGAAATTGTTTCGGCATTTTACAAAAGTCATACTTTTGAAAGTGTTGCAGGTTAGTTTGGACTATTTTATGAAATTACAAATAGTTGGCACTAGCTGCACACTTTGGTCCTTCCATCCTCATGATTTGTTACAATTGCTCCTTTGGCACGTCTAGCCTGTAAGTATAAAAATGTGCCCTTGCGTCGTACTTTGAGAGTAGAGAAGTGAGTTTGGACCACAGTATTGTGAGATCACTCTGATTTATGCCTTAAGCATTTGTTATCAGAATACATAAAACACAGAAATACATACATGTTTTATTTAAAAATCACATCATTTTAGTGTATTTTCTTAAACATTTAATTGAGTTCTTGGATGAAAAGAATCATGTTGAAAATTGTACATGATTAAAACATCTATATCTCTAAATTGCTTAACCATTCTGGAAAAGATTGGCACAGGCTAGGGAGATGGCTCAGTAGAATAAGTGCTTCCCTGGCAAGCGCTGAGTTCAATCCCCTGTTCTGAAAAAAAAAAAAAAAAAAAAAAAGATTGGCGCAGAGGGAAGAAGTTTATAAAGGTCTGCATCTACCTTCAAGAATATATCTAAGGTATGAATATGACTTCCATGTGTTGTGGTAGAACAAAGGATGAGGGCCATTCTTTAGAGCTTCCAGTGACTGTGTTACCAGGTGATCTTGCCTGTGTGGTATTCTTTAATCTAAACTGCTCCGTTCATAATGCGAAGCTACAATGGTATTTCATGACATCTCCAAACTCTTGAGGAATAACTATGAAACTACTTCAAGTTATTGTGATCCCAATTCCCCACATTTTCTTTTAATACCAACTAAGCTAATGTTTTAGTTTATGCTCATTCTTTGAGTTAAGTATAGATTGCAGTTCCTTTCCAACAGAAATGAAGTTTAGAAATTCCTGCATTTTGTATGGAAAGTGCTAACAGTAATTAGAATGGAAACAATGAATGAATAAGTACAGGAACATGTATACTTTATGTTTATCTCTCCACCTTTAGTCATTTGTGAATGGATGTTGCACAAATATAGCCATCCTGAATATCATTAAAAATATTTTATTTACTTATTTGTTTGGTACAGAGTCTTGTTGTGCAGCTCTGACTTGTCGTGATCCTCTTTTCTCAGCCTCCCCACTGCCAGATTATAGGCATGTACCACCACACCTGTTTTGGAGCCGCACAGCATGTGGTACTGGTGATTGAACCCAGGTCCTTGCACTTGCCAGACAGGCACTTAGACTGGCTAGCTCTCTTCCTAGTCCTGAGTATCATTGTATACTACTGTTTTTCTAATACTTTTCTATAAATTGGCCAATTTTCTCCAACTTATTTTTAGTAGAAATACCCATGATTCTATAGTATTACTTGCTATTTATAGATGGAAGTTCTAAAGTCAAAGACAATTGTTAAATTTAAGTAGATTTTGTTGACTATTTTGAAGTCCATAGTCTGTGTTATCAAAGAACACTACCTAATACCTGAAAATGGTGAAGATACACTTGCCGCGTGTTGAAACTTAATTTATGAGATAATCAATATAAGGAAAAGAAAATGGGAAAAGGAACACCTTTTCCACCATGGTTATTTCATACTCAATATCATTACAGTGTAAAATCAGGCTGTAAAAGCTCCTCATGCCTGGGGGGACCTAATTCTTTAAAAATAATTGATTCTGGTGTCTAGAGTGAAAGCAATTAATCAAACAACTGGATGTTATTAGATATTTTGAAAAGTGTATTAGATATACAAAAATAATAGTTTCCTCTTGAGTCAAGGCATATATATGTGAAAATTAAATCATACCAAACAGTACATGTACTCTTTATCATATATATAGGACACACTGTAAAATTATAAATGTCATTATTGTGTTTTAAGTGTATTTTGGGACATGTGGGTCAAGCCCTAATTTTAAAGTGCAAATATAGTGTCACCTAAGAATCTGACCTAATTTGACTGGATGAACAGGAACACGTTTGCCTTGCTTGCCCCGATTTTCATTTAGACAGTATCTCCGCATTTTTAATAGAAACTGTCACTTCAAGATTCTGGGATCTTAATTATTTTTTTTTCCTAGATGACTAGAATCTATTTCTACACTTGTCTTTTGTTCATAAAGGTCAGATCTAAATAAAGCAGTCAGTGTTTCAGCCAAATATTTCAGGGAACTAAAATTCTAGTCATCTTTATATGAGCAACCTTAGTAGCATATTTTCAAGAAGTTGTTGATATACAGGACATAAAACTATTTTCCACGATTGGCAAAGTGATTCTGAATATATATTTCATTTTATTTTATCACATAGCAATGTTTTTGGCACATAAAAATCGGGTCAACAGATTTTAGGCTACTCCGATAATACTAATATATGCTGTGTATTATCTTGAGTAAACTTATATAGATTTAGATATCCTTATCTAACTCTGTGTATGTCTTCTGTGATAAGGTCCTGAAAAACTTATTAAAGAAGTGATGCAAGCTGTGATAGTTTAATCCCTTCTTTATCCATGTTATTCTGTTGAAAGCAACTACATCTTTAATCAAAAACAAGAATTATGTTTTCACATTAAACTTTTAAATACAAGTTGAACATCTCTAATCTGAAAACCTAAAATCTGAAAAGTACCCCCAAAGCTAAGTTTTTAAACTAGTGACATGTGGAAAAAATCACTTCTGCTCTTAAGTGATGAGTTGCAGTCAAAATGTAGGGTCAATAAATTAGCTTCAGGCTGTGTGGTAAGGTAGAGAATAGGTGAAGCATAAATGAGTTTTGTGTTTAGACTTGGATCCTGTTTTCAAGATATTCCATTGTGAATATCCGAATATACCAAAATTTAAGCTAGGTGTAGTGGTATACATCACTAATGCCAGCACTTGGAGATTGAGGTAGAAGGATTGCTGGAAGTTGGGGGCTAGTCTGCGCTACATAGCAACACCCTGTCCTAAAAAACAATGTGGGCACACACACATACACATTCACACCACACACACACACACACACACACACACACACAT